CAAACACTGCCAGCCCCCATCATTGTTATGGATGAGTCCACTACTCAGTAGGGCTATGTTGTGGCTGTGTTATTCATCCGAGTACACCTGTACGTAGTCACGTGAATTGTCTGAGTGTTTGGAGTCAGCAAGTGTAGGTTGACCACCACTTTGCTTGTGGGCAAAGGTACCACAGTAGTGGAGAGAAGCTACTAATTCTGGTGATGTTAAAGTATTAAGTGTTGGTGCTGTAACTGGCATCATTACCACTTGATCTAATGGTGCTCAAAGGTGCTATGTAAGAGTATTGTGTGTGTTCTTGTAAATGTACAGCAAGTCATGGTGTAAGTGGAGAATGTAGGCTACATAAGTTTAACAGTACAAAATGAGTAAAGCCAGGGAGTTGACCCCTGTAGTTGAGCTTTACTGAAATTATTCATAAAATATAACTTGATTTTAATAAACCATTTTATAATTTTAATAAACCATTTTATTTGTATGTTTAGAGTATCATTTACCTGCAGTATTTTACAGTCATTCTTCCCCATTGCTTGATACAAGAATTACAATGTACCCACGTGTCATAACCCTTGAGCCATGCTAATCAAAGGTCAGAGGTTATGAAGTAACTAGATGAAATGAAATAACTAAACAGAACTAATGGAGAAAATTAATGAATTTAAAAAATTAAGAGAAAAACAAGTTGAAGAGTTTAAAAGTTAACCACCATGATGTAAATTAAAAGGAGCAGAAAAGGAGAAAACACGCTCTTATACTTGGAGGCTCTACCAGAGAGTGTTGTGACGACACCGAGTGTAGGCAATTTTGAGTTAGGAAAGATTAAAAAGTATTGACCGGGTATACATAAATTGATGATAATATACTTTATTTCATTTTATTTATTATTCTCAGATAAAAAGTGCAACAGGTACAGTGATTTCAAATCAATGTCTCAATTAAATTTAATGATATAAAAGTATATAGCAATGGCAAAATGGAATACGAGTGAAAATTTTAACATACCTAAGTACATGTCTCTATAAAAATGACAGAATATAATGAAACGATTAAAATATATAAAAGATGCAAATGAGTCAGCAATCAATTTTTCACTTCTTTATCAGACTTACCAATACAATGTTTAAGTTTATATTGAATATATAAGTAGAATAATAGATATTATATCTTGCTTCTTATACTGTACAGTACTATCCTTATTTCTAATTCATAATGTTCTATAAATTTTTACATTGTTCTTACAGACAACACAAGGATCTGCAGCTTGATCTACAGTGATTATTTTGAAAAATTTAATAAAGATCTTGGACTGTAGACTTTGCTGTTATACTTTAATACAGTACTGCATAACAGATGGATACTAACTCATAAAAAAAAGGCCCTTTTAAATGTTCTTCATCACTTATGGAAATTTCATATGAAAATTAGGTACAATACATACATAAATATATTACAGTATACCATTATAATCAGAATGTTTCTTGATTCCTAGATAGAATTAAAAACAATTTCTTCTTTTTTTATGTGCATTAAGGGTTCCCAGAAAAAGCTTGTTACTTATAAACTTAACACTTGTACCTATACTTTGCATTACTTACAAACTTAACATTTATACTTTAACTTTTCTCGCTGTTACTTACAGTAAATGCATAAAGTTGTAAACACATGTAAAGATGCAAAACATAAAGCAACTAAAAATTTTCTGGTCTAAGCTTAAGTAATACACCAGTCCATTGTGTGCTTACTGTAGTGACAAGAGATAAATAATGCAATACAGTGAAGCCTCTATTTAATGGACTATATCAAGAGGAAGATCTGTTATATTGAGGATCCATTAGATGTGAAAACCCCATCGCACGGATTATATGGAAAGATGAGTCCATTATGTGCAGGTTTCACTGTATCAATATAAACACATTTACAGCCATCATCCACCACACACACTGCAGTTTTTGGTGCATCGACCCAGAAGATTTTAGTGATCAAACAACGACATCATCTATAGGGTGTCTGAAATGTTTGTACTCAAATATCAATGAACAGAGGACCACCTTTTTGGAATAAGGGAATTAGAACAAAGACACATTACAGGGGATTATGTGCAAGAATTGATGGTATTAATAATGTTTCGGTCATCTGGGGAATCTTAGGAATTTAGGTTAGGTTCTGTGGCGAGGTTAGGTTAAGTAAGATCAAAATCATTGAAAACATGGTGAAAACCGTCAGAAAATCATAGGGATGACCAAAACGATAATTTTACAGAATTGACACATTGTAACTTGAGCATTTGATAATATAAAGGAAAAGACTGAATCCTGCTTAAGAGTAAAGTACAGTAAAGACTTTTTCAGACACTGTAATAATAGAATAAAATCCCCAATAAATCCTACAATACACAGTGCTACAGGCTGACCTAGCAATTTCGTGTCGCAGTATAATATAAGACTATAAAATACAGCAAACAAAGAGCATTGGTGTGTATATGGGGAAAGTGAATGTGTGTCTGTATGCTGTAAGCTATGACTATTTTGCCAACTCACCACTCCAACCACCGTGTTTATTGTTATGAAACTATAACGTTGTTGAAAAATATAACAATACAGTAAGTTTTTGTATAATGTCACCCCGATAATGTTGTTTCGGTACAACGTCGCTGCTCTTTAGATACCAATAATTCGTTTAACGTCCCGACAACTCAATTTAACGTCATTTTTGCATCATCACGGACTATTTTCTACGGAGCATCACCCTCTCTGGTCTGGCAGCGCTACGCTCTCTTGGCTCGGCTCGCTACCTCTCACTAGCGGAATGTCACAGCATCCCCGAGCGATGCCAAGCCAGTCTCTGTTAAGCTTCCACATCATTTTTTTTTTTTTTTTTTTTATCCTCTTCGCCACTGATCGGCTTGTTAGCCAGGCGATCGGTCACGTCTCTTTTCCTTTATATTCTTCACCAAAAGGTCGGCTCGCTAGCCGCCCGGGCGATCGGTCACGTCTCTGTCACGTACTGTTGGCAAATACTGGGCATGCACCGGCTCCTGAATGTACCTGAACCCGCTCCAGTGTTGGTCAAGTCTTCTCTTGAAAGAGCTCACACTCAGTGCCGTCACAACACTCTCTGGTAGATTGTTCCAAGAGTTTACAACCCTCACTCCGAAAAAGTTTGCCCTCACGGTTTTCTGGACTTGCGGCTTCTTCAATCTTGAGCTGTGACCCCTTGTGGGGCGAGCGTCCGCCAGCTCCAAGTAAGGACACTCAACTGAGTAGTGCCCCCTGAGATGCTTATAAACCTCAACTAGGTCCCCCCTTGCCCGTCTGTAGTATAAGCTAGGCAAGTTCAGGCGCTCCAATCTCTCAGGGTAGCTGAGATGCCGAAGTGCAGGCACCAGTTTGGTGGCCCTCCTTTGAACATTTTCAACCAACTGACAGTCCCTAGCATATCTCGGGGACCAGATGGGGTGACAGTACTCCAGATGGGGAAGCACTTCACTCCTGAAGATCGTCACGAGGGACGGACCGTCTAGATATCTGAACAACCTTCTTATAAGACCCAATAATTTATTTGCCTGATTTAACTTCTTCTCACAATGGCCCGAGAACTTCAGCTCATTGTCAACATACACACCTAGGTCCTTCTCACACACAGTCTCAACTAGTACATTTTCTTCATCCCGTTGGGACATATGGTACGCCTCCTTACCGTTGGTACGCCCCAGGTGCATCCTCTTACACTTCGTGACATTGAATCTCATCAGCCATTCCTTCGACCATTCCTGGAGCCCACAGAGGTCCTTCTGCAGCTCTTCACAGTCCGCTTGGTTCTTAATTTCCCGAAATAACTTGGCGTCATCGGCAAACATTTGTATGGAGGAGTGTACAACGTCAGGCATATCATTTATGAAACAAACAAACAACAGCGAGCCCAATACACTACCCTGCGGTACCCCACTTGTTACAGGTACAGATGACGATTTCGTGCCATAATCACCACACATTGCTTGCGGTCATGTAGAAAGTCTTCTATCCACGCTAGGACATTTCCCTGAATTCCGTACCCTTCCAGTTTGATTTTCAGCCTTTCGTGGGGTACACTGTCGAAAGCCTTGGCAAAATCTAGGTAAATATTGTCGATATTACCACCCCGTTCTAGAATATAGGTCCAAATATCCAATACCTTGAGCAATTGTGTCAAGCAAGAGCGCCCCGGCATAAAACCGTGTTGGCAATCTTTTACAAGGTTGTTTCGTAGTAGATGTTCCATCGCTGCATCTCTGATAATACTCTCAAGTAATTTACATATTATGCTGGTCAGGCTCACCGGTCTATAGTTGTTCGTGGAGTACCTATCGCTGTAAATAATGTACTCTAACCATTCAAAATGACTTCCAAGTGCTCAACAAGTGCTACTGATGCCAGTGTTGTGAAGAAGCAACATAAGACCATTAGCCTTGCTACAAAAATGGAGGTTTTAAACCGGGAGGAGGTGCCACCCGCCGGGTCTTAGTGACTCTCCACCCTCCTTCTGCTCTCCACTACCCACCACACACTCACTCCACCACCTCTGTCCATCAGTGAGTACAATACAAAATGATTTAGTTTATTTATATATATGAACTATTTTCTATAAAAATGCCATTGAATTTCTGTACATGTAATGTATTTTATGGGGCAAAGGGAGGCTGGGGAACGTAACACCTGTATTTTATCTATTTCTTATGGGGAAAATTGATTCCGTTAAAGTCACGGTTTTCAGGAACAGAACCACAACGTTAAGTGAGGACTTACTGTACTCTAATATGGCTTATAAATAAAGAAAATCTAACATCAAATAAGAAAAATTAAGAGCCTGGGTGCGGATGTATGTGGAGGCAGTGGACTGTAACTGTGGCCACATTCCCTCCTGAAGTGACTCCATGGTATGCACACAACACAGAGCGGCACCCACACGTCTATGAGTCAGCTGGTTGACTGAAGTCTGTCGCATTGCCCAGAGGCTGGTTTGAGTGTGAAATGAGCTTTTTTTTTTACATAAAATGTGTGCTACTGTATTTTATGATATGCTATGTATCAACTAAAATTGTTTATCACAGGAATAAGTATGGCAGCTCATCCCCATTGTGCACAGTATTCAAACTTACAATACAAGCTAATTTGGGATAAATTTTCATTTTTAGCATTATTTAATTTTGGTGCCAGTTAGTTGTATCTACCAGTTGCTTGGATACCAGATAAATGGAATTCTACTGTACGTATCCTCGTAAAAGTGCACACAGGAATACAATTAAAAGCCACAGCAGACTGTATACTAGAATGCTACACACACACAGATACTGTACTGTACTTGAGCATACACAGAATAAAGATGTACCGTAAACACCCGATATAATGGACACTGTCTATAAAGGACCTCGGCTTTAACGGACCAGCCTAACCCCACCAATCATGATGAATGAAGTAAAGTAATTCATCTCTGACATGGACACAATGTTGTTAACCGGACCAATAAAAATTGTTACACAAGTTGTCTGGTCTTCATGCAGGTTCTCACTTAGCTTATTCTCTGGTGCTTTATTTCTAACATTGACCACGTGTGTGTGTCTTGGCTCCTCTATCTTGGAAGGATGTCTATCATGTTTTAGACAATCTGTGATGGACATTCCTGTAGAGGAGAAAATATATATGTTAAATTTATTATTATTAATCAACGATACTACATAAATGTCACAGCTCAAGGTTGAAGAAGCCACAAGTCCAGAAAACTGTGTGGTGTAACTTCTTCGGAGTGAGAGTTGTGAACTCTTGGAACAATCTGCCAGAAAGTGTTGTGACGATACTGAGTGTGAGCTGTTTAAAGACCAGACTTGACCAACACTGAAGCAGGTTCAGATACATTCAGGAGCCAGTACCTGCCCAGTACTTACCAACAGTGTGTAACAGAGACGTGACCGATCGCCCAAGCGGCTAACGAGCAGATTAGTGGTGAAGAGGGTAAAGGTAATGTACTAGCTCCTGAATGTATCTGAACATGCTCCAGTGTTGGTCAAGTCTGGTCTTGAAACAGCTCACACTTGGTGCCGTCACAACACTCTCTGGCAGATTGTTCCAAGAGTTCACAACTCTCACTCCAAAAAAGTTACACCTCACAGTTTTCTGGACTTGTGGCTTCTTCATCCTTGAGCGGCAACCCCTTGTGGGGCAAGCGTCCACCAGCTCCAGGTAAGGGCACTTGACTGAGTAGTGCCCCTTGAGATGCTTGTACACCTCAATCAGATCTCCCCTTGCCCGTCTACAGTACAAGAATAAGTTAGACAATTGCAGGCGTTCTAATCTCTCAGAGTAGCTGAGGTGCCAAAGTGCTAGCACCAGTCTGGTGGCCCTCCTTTGGACATTTTCAATCAACTGACAGCCCCTAGCATATCTCGGGGACCAGACAGGGAAACAGCTCGCTCTTGAAGATCATGATTAGGGACGGACTGTCTAGATATCTGAACGACCTTCTTATCAGACCCAATAATTTATTTGCCTGATTTACCTTCTTCTCGCAATGGCCCGAGAACTTCAGCTCATTGTCAACATACACACCTAGGTCCTTATCACATTCAGTCTCAAATAATGCAGTTTCTTCATCCCGTTGGGACATATGATACGCCTCCTTACCATTGGTACGCCCCAGGTGCATCCTCTTACACTTCGTGACATCGAATCTCAGCAGCCATTTCTTTGACCATTCTTGGAGCTCACAGAGGTCCTTCTGCAGCTCTTCACAGTCTGATTGGTTCTTGATTTCCTTAAATAACCTGGCATCATCCGCAAACATTTGTATGGAGGAGTGTACAATGTCAGGCATGTCATTTATGAAACAAACAAACAACAGCGGACCCAATACACTGCCCTGTGGTACCCTGTTTGTCACGGGTACACATGATGATTTCATGCCATTAATCACCACACACTGCTTGTGGTCATGTAGAAAGTCTCCGATCCACACTAGGACACTTCCCTGAATCCCGTACCCTTCCAGTTTAATTTTCAGCCTTTCATGGGGTACAATGTCAAAAACCTTGGCAAAATCTAGGTATATATTGTCAATATTACCACCCTGTTCCAGAATATGGGTCCAGATATCCAGTACCTTGAGTAATTGTGTTAAGCAAGAGCACCCCGGCATAAAACCGTGTTGGCAATCCTTTACAAGGTTGTTTCGTAGTAGATGTTCCATCATGGCATCTCTTATAATGCTCTCAAGTACTTGACCTCGCATGCAACCAGCCTCTAGAACTCCTTTTCAGCCCTTCTGCACTCTGACTTTGTTTGGTTCCTGGATCTGGCATACACCACTAAACCAACTTTTAACCTTTGATATGACACAGTAAATTTATACCCCAATAATTACTACAAGAAGACGATGATATGGTTGTTCATACTCACATTGTTCCTCTCCAACAGGACAGTGTAGGCATTAGATGTTTGTGCAATATATGAGTACTTTAGGATGCAGCCAGAGTTGACCATCACGCAGGTTGTCATGGATGGCTCTGTAAACACACACACAAAATAATTAAAACAAATATTTTCAACAGGAAATTAGTACAGTGAAACCTTCATATAACGGACTTTTTTCTCCATTTAATCATTTAAGACGGTATGGTTACATATACGTATATAACAAACCCTTGATATAACGGACTCGTTTATATACAGTAGTTAAACAGAGCTGTCACTGTGACTAAAAAAGAAGTATATTGTAATAAAATATAAAAAATGGGTAAGAATTATTAGTTAGTTATGAGGTAAGAAGTATTAGTTAGTTATACTTTTTCTTTTATCCTCTTCACCACTGATCGGCTCGTTAGCCGTTTGGGCGATCGGTCACGTCTCTGTTACCTTTCGTTTTCTTTTGTTATGAGGTAAGAAGTATTAGTTATGAGGTTGGAAGTATTAGGGTTGCCATATCTGAACATTAAAAAAAGAGGACGTTCCCGAAGACATCCTGCGCCCCCCCCGGCACACACTTTGGTGCTATGTAACCTTGAAGCAGCTGTGACAATTAATTTTGCATAACATTAATATATATACAGTCAGGGCCCTCCCTAGGAGGGTGCGGGGCCCGGGGCAACTCAGCTACTGCAGGGCCCCAGAAAATATATAGGCCTACAGTATATGGAGTCAGTTATGCGGTCAGAGGAACCCATCCCCACCAACCCCCATGGGACTGTCGCTGTGGATGGTAAGGTCACGGTTGCGATGGTGGCGTAAGCCGTCAGGTCAGATTAACCAGTCAACAGGTAATGTGTCCAAGGTCACTGGGTCTAGTGCTGGGCCCCGGGCGGTCGGCCCTGTTCGCCCCCCCCCACCCTAAAAGACGGGCCTGTATACAGTGCTGTATATCTATATATATGTATACTAGTATCGGTGTACTGTATTGCATTGTGTTTTTAATGTAGGCTAATATACAACATACATGGTATAGAAATCTTAAAAATAATAAAAAAAATTACCTTTGCTTAAGGCTGAATATCTTCATTCCCTTAGCTGCAGTCTTCTTCCCCCACTGTGTGTGTGACTTGGTGTGCCCATGCATACTTTTCTGTAGATCGGATCTTTTTCAGTATTGGCTGATTGCTCTTTAGAAAGGTATGGAAGTCACTGCAAGATGTTTCTCGGAAGTTGTACTGTACAGTCAGAATGCCTTTCATTGTTTCAACACTCAATTTGTTCCTTTCCTTTGTCCATTGACTTTGCATCAGTGAAAAAACTTTCTACATTTGCATTGTGAGAGGATATAGCAAAGAAGAATCGTTCAATTCTGAGTGGCATTCAATGTTCTTTGATTTTTCAAAGTATCTGGTCCACTTTTTATGTGTTGGCAGATTACTAAATTCTTCATCAGTCTTGTAATTTTCCACAAACTGCTTCAGGTTACTAACTTGGTCAAACTCTGTCACTACAGGTTAAAGACTGGCCAACCACCGATCACCGTCACAGTTGCCAACACACGTAAATAATATAACAAAAGTTGCTAGATTATGGTTGAAAATTGCTAAAATGCCTTAAATGCAGTATAAGCTAGGCAGGTTCAGGCGCTCCAATCTCTCAGGGTAGCTGAGGTGCCGAAGTGCAGGCACCAGTCTGGTGGCCCTCCTTTGAACATTTTCAACCAACTGACAGTCCCTAGCATATCTCGGGGACCAGATGGGGTGACAGTACTCCAGATGGGGAAGCACTTCACTCCTGAAGATCGTCACGAGGGACGGACCGTCTAGATATCTGAACGACCTTCTTATAAGACCCAATAATTTATTTGCCTGATTTACCTTCTTCTCACAATGGCCCGAGAACTTCAGCTCATTGTCAACATACACACCTAGGTCCTTCTCACACACAGTCTCAACTAGTGCATTTTCTTCATCCCGTTGGGACATATGATACGCCTCCTTACCGTTGGTACGCCCCAGGTGCATCCTCTTACACTTCGTGACATTGAATCTCAGCAGCCATTTCTTCGGCCATTCCTGGAGGCCACAGAGGTCCTTCTGCAGCTCTTCACAGTCTGCTTGGTTCTTAATTTCCCGAAATAACTTGCCATCATCGGCAAACATTTGTATGGAGGAGTGTACAACGTCAGGCATGTCATTTATGAAACAAACAAACAACAGCGGGCCCAATACACTGCCCTGTGGTACCCCACTTGTTTCAGATACAGATGACGATTTCGTGCCATTAATCACCACACACTGCTTGCGGTCATGTAGAAAGTCTTCTACCCACGCTAGGACATTTCCCCGAATTCCGTACCCTTCCAGTTTGATCTTCAGCCTTTCGTGGGTTACACTGTCGAAAGCCTTGGCAAAATCTAGGTAAATATTGTCGATATTACCACCCCGTTCAAGAATATGGGTCCAAATATCCAATACCTTGAGCAATTGTGTTAAGCAAGATCGCCCCGGCATAAAACCGTGTTGGCAATCTTTTACAAGGTTGTTTCGTAGTAGATGTTCCATCGCGGCATCTCTGATAATACTCTCAAGTACTTTACATAATATGCTGGTCAGGCTCACAGGTCTATAGTTGTTCGTGGAGTGACTATCACCCTTCTTGAAGATAGGACTCACATAAGCCACTTTCCATTCACTGGGGACCATTTGTTCATCCAGGCATTTACAAAACAGGATCTTCAGGGGCTCTGCAAGCTCGTTGCATGACTCTCTTAGCACTCTAGGATGCACCATGTCAGGTCCGGGACTCTTATGGACCTTTAGTTATGAGGTGAGAAGTATTAGTTATGAGGTAAGAAGTATTAGTTATGAGGTGAGAAGTATGAGTTATGAGGTAAGAAGTACGAGTTATGAGGTGAGAAGTATTAGTTATGAGGTGAGAAGTATGAGTTATGAGGTAAGAAGTATTAGTTATGAGGTATTATCATCATATATTACTAAGACACATTAATCTGACTTCCAGTACAGTATTTAGTTACATTACTTACATGATGGCTTTGTTAGCTATCTTTGTTTGAGTCAACTTATTCCTTACCATTTTTTTGTATACCTGCATTGCCAATACAGGGGTATACATTGTTTGTATAGCCGCAATGTCTATGTATATTCTATACCTGGAATGTTCATACAGTATACATTACAGTCAGTACCTCCTTCTTTCCTCATACAGCCAAACTGTGGAATGTTCTGCCTTCTTCTGTTTCCATACTCATACAATCTGTCTCACTTTTAAAAGCTGGTTTTCCGGCACCTTCGTAGTGTAGATTAATATAACCTTTTCTTTTCTTTTCTTTTATCCTCTTCACCACTGATTGGCTCGTTAGCCGCTTGGGCGAACGGTCAGGTCTCTGAGCAGTTTTCCTTTTCATATATCCTCTTCACCTTTTCCTTTTCTATTTTTAATTTCTCAGTAATCTTATCCCCCTTCCCTCCCCAGGCCCTGTTGTGGGTCAATGACCTGTGCCTGGATGGGCTATTCCCTAAAAAAAAAAAGCCCACAAAAAACTTTCAGTTTTTAGAGCTGGTTAAAGGGTTGTCAACCTATATATATATATATATATATATATATATATATATATATATATATATATATATATATATATATATATATATATATATATATACAGTATACTGTATATTGTTTGTACACCTGCACTCTCTATGTATATATTGTTTGAACTACAGTATACCTACACTGCCTATGTATATTGTACACCAGTACTGCCTATATATGTACTGTACTAAATCAATGTATACTTACATGGTGACAATTTCACTGAATGAATATCTATCTACTGAATGTATGTAAATGATAACTGCGTGAGTGATTCTCACCCAGATTATTGACAGCGGTGACAGTAATCTGACACTGATCACAGGTAGGGCTGCCCCTCATGCCCGCCTTACACAGAACACACGGCTTCAGCTTCTCACAGACTCCAGCAGCGTACACTGTGTCCTCACAGTACATGCCCTTGTATCTGTCCCAAAAAAAGAAAGAAATTAATTTAAATGCTGGGTAGGAAATTTACATAATTTGTCAATTGATTTCATGTTATCAAATTCCTTAATGTTTCTCAATTTGCTTGGGGTAGTAAAGAGTATATAGTACTGTAATAGTAAATGGCTGAGAGCATACTATTAGTACACAGTAAATGGCTGAGAGAGTAAAATATTACAGTACTCAGTAAATGGCCGAGTACAAAAGAATAACTTACCCATCTTCACAGTGGCACCTTCCACATTCACATGTTCCTTTATTTGAGCAAATGTTTTTATCTCCAGGATTAATACAGATCTGAGTTTGAGTGGGACAGTTGCAAGCTTCTCCAATGTAGCCAGAACGGCACATACATCCCCCACACCTACACTGGCCACGACTTGGTCCACCACAAGACATTCCGTCATACCTGAACCAGAAGAATGATAATAATGACACAACTATAATGATTACATCTCACAAGATGGTACACCGCTGCTCACCGGCACTTCAGCTTGGTAATATTACTCAGCATTTGTGGCAAGTGATTTTATCTGGATTTCAATTATAATTATTGGTGCTAAAGAAAGTGATATTGCAACTTCCATTTTCTTTGAGCTGATTTAATCAAATCTAGATCTGCCACAGGTACTGTACCGCACCGTACTGTACACTCCGAAAAATTATTTGACGTGTACAATACAGACATTCATCTTACAAGGCACACAACTAGGTCACTGTAAAAGGAATGCGTCTATAGTATTCTAAACAGTTAAAAGTTAAGGTAGGGTACACTTTACATTCAAACACTTTGGAAGTAGAGTACTGTACTGTACTGTGATAAACAACGGGACACACTAACACTTTACACACAAATATTGAAATAACTCATAACCAAAAGTGGCATCTTTATACAGTACAGTACTATCTTAATTTAAGGTTAACCATTTGTTGTGTTACAGAGAGAAGTAATTTATCAAGATTTAGCTCTACAACGGTCCTTTTTTTTATAAATTATAAAAAGTTTTCTCAAAAGTTACAAAGCAACTCACAGTTGACAGGTGTGATCATTACACTGGCATTTACTGCCATAGTGCTCTGGTTCACACTGACAATGACCACATGAACACTCTCCATGTCCACTGCAGATCTGACCATCAGCAGCTTGGCAGCTCTCCACCCCAGTAGGACAGAGGGAATGATCCTCAGTAACTCCCATAGTATCACTGTGTCCTCTCTGCACTGACCCACGGTGGTTGTGGCCTCGACCCTGAACAGTGAAGAAATCAATACCTGATTCTTTTGCAAAATATATTACAGTACCACACTTTTACTTTCTTGCCTCTGAATTAACCCTTAAACAGGTGGGGAAAGCGGTCAATATCTGTAGAAGTTTTATGTTCCTTACATATAGGGGCGAGGGTGAGGAGAGGATGTCTTAGCCACAGATTAAGGGTTAAGTGAGATGACATGCTGCTAGCTCATGACCATCTACATTATGAATTTATTTGGAAGAGCTCTTTGAAGAAGAAACAATTACAGTACTGTAATACTACACTCTTTCCTCAGATGAAACTTTCTGCTAAATTAAGTCACAATAGCTTTTAACATCTGATTCTTATAGTATACAGGTAGTCCCCAACTTACGACTGACTCAACTTACGTCAATCCGCACTTACGACCTGCTCTGACCGTACGACCGTCCGCACATACGACCGCCACAGTCGTGACCAAAATTTTTTTCAAATAACGCGTGCATTTTCTATACCGAAACGTTTCCATCCTGAGCGAGTGTGGCTGGCTTGGGTCACCGCGTGGTTACACTCACTCAGTACAACGCTTAGTTGGTGTTTGGCTATCATATCCTATACTGATCGTGCTGTGTACTTACGTTATTATCGTATTTAATTGACTTTATAATGACTGGAAAGCATACAAGTGAGAGTGCTGGTGGTGCTCCGAAGAAAAGGAGACAGGCAATTACTTTTAAGATGAAAATGAAGATAATAATGCAGTATGAGAATGGCAAAACTGTAGCAACAATCTCACGAGACCTAGGTTTCTCTCACTCGACCATATCCACTATTCTGAAGGACATGGAACGTATTCATGATGTAGTGAAAGGAACAACACCGATAAAGGGAACTATAATTTCGAAGAAAAGACAAGGTCCCATTCACGATATGGAAAAATTATTGGTGATATGGATAGAAGACCAGATACAGAAGCCTGTACCCTTAAGCCTTCTAACATTACAGGCTAAAGCAAGAAGCCTGTTCCAAAGCCTGAAGGAACAGGCAGGAGATGAATGTGAGCAAGCCTTTACAGGAAGTCATGGGTGGTTTGATTGATTTAAAAAATGCAACAGTGTACACAATGTTAAGGTGAGTGGAGAGGCAGCTAGTGCTGATGTTGGTGCTGCCGAAGCTTTTAAGGAGGAGTTAGATGATGTGATTGTGGAAGGGAATTATTTGCCTGAGCAAATATTCAATGTGGATGAGACTGGATTATTGTGGGAGCGCATGCCTGAGTGGACATACATCCACAAAGAGGCGAAAACAATGCCAGGATTCAAGGCATTCAAGGACAGAATTACACTTCTGTTGGGGGGGAATGTTGCTGGTTTCAAGCTAAAGCCTTCATGATCTATCATTCAGAGAACTCCAGGGCTTTTAAACATGTCAGCAAGCACACACTGCCAGTGTTTTATCACAGTAACAAGAAAGCCTGGATGACCATTGTACTGTTTGAGGATTGGTTCATGACTTGTTTCATTCCTAGAGCCAAGGAGTATTATCTGCAACAACGGATTCCATTCAAGATTTTACTGATTTTGGATAATGCTCCGGGACACCTACCACACCTGGACGACATGCACCTGATGTTAAGGTAGTGTACATTCCACCTAACACTACCTCTGTCATCCAACCCATGGATCAAGGTGCTATTGCTGCATTTAAAGCGTATTATTTACGTACAACCTTCGCTCAGGCTGTTGCTGCTACTGAAGGTGAGAAAATACTCAGAGTTTTGGAAGGACTACAACATTTTGAAATGTATAAAGAACATTGCTGCAGCATGGGATGAGGCTACAGGACAGTGCATGAATGGAATATGGAAGAAGGTCCTGAAAAGATATGTGAACAGTTTCAGAGGATTTACTGAAGATGAAGTAATTTCTGAGATTAGTAACAAGATAGTGGAGTTGGGTAAACAGCTTGAGTTAGAAATTGATAATGAAGATGTTGAGCAGTTGGTTGAAAGTGCAGCAGAAGAGCTAAGTAACGAGGATCTTATTGAACTGGAAGCACAGAAAATTGCAGAGGAAGAAGAGAGTTAAAATGTAAAAGAAGAACCTGCACCCCCCAAAAAATTTTCAGTGAAATAAATGAGCTGATCATTTGGTGAAGAGAATAAAAGAAAAAGAAAAGTAACAGAGACGTGACCGATCGCCCAAGCAGCTAACGAGCCGATCAGTGGTGAAGAGGATAAAAGAAAAAAAATAAAGTATAGAAAACAATATTAACTTAGGAAATATAAGCAAAGAAATATAAGATAGATACATATAGACAAAAAGACTTGGAAAATGATATTATGAATATGTACAGCTCCTCCCCGACTTATGACCTACTCGACTTACGACCACCCGCACTTACGACCTGCCTCAGTTGTACCAAAATTTTGTCAAATTACGTATTTTCGAGACCCAACGTCAGTACACAGACAAAATTTTTGTTTGTAATTCACTTTAAAATGGTTGGCAAGCTTAAATGTGAGAGTTTTGTGGTGCTGAAAAGAAAAAGAGACATCCATTTTAGATTTTCTGTATTATTTAAGCATTTTCAACTTACGACCAATTCGACTTACGACCTGGATTTGGGTCCCTAACCCCATCGTAAGTCAGGGAGGAGCTGTACACAAGAAAAGATAACTAGAAAAATCTCTCTTAAACAGCTATAGATAAAAGAAATAAGAATAATAAGAATAGAATGAAAAATGAAACAGGCATCAACCCCCCTACACTCTTGTACAGTACTGTAATAACACTGGACAATAAAAGTCATAAAGTAATGAAGAAGAAATCAACTAATCAAAATTACTAGTGAGCTCATAAGTGGTGAAATGATAAATAGATAAATAAATAAATAAAAACCCTTGATCCCTGTCATCTACAATATACACTCTTAGGTTGACAGTACTAACTTGTTGTCTGGTAAAAGCCCGAAACTCTCTCCACAGTGAAGACAGGTTGGCTCTCAACCACACCAAGTCCACTACTTGGTCAGGCTCCTCATCTCCAGGTTCTTGTCCAACTCTCTGAACACTCTGCTTCTGTCTCCTCCGGTCCTCCCTGTTCACATACTTTGGATCATAAGAGCAAAACCCAAACTTGCTTCTATGTTATTTCACTAAAGGTAGTAAAGCTAGGTATTAGGCCCATTGTTGTTTGTTTCATAAATGACATGCCAGAAGCTATACAGTCCTCCATGCTAATGTTTGTGAATTAAGAACCAAGCGAACTGTGAAGAGCTGCAGAAGGATCTCTGTGAGCTCCAAGAATAGTCAAAGAAATGGCTGCTGAGATTCAATGTCACGAAGTGTAAGAGGATGCACCTGGGGCGTACCAACGGTAAGGAGGCGTATCATATGTCCCACCGGGATGAAGAAACTGCACTATTTGAGACTGAATGTGAGAAGGACCTAGGTGTGTATGTTGACAATGAGCTGAAGTTCTCGGGCCATTGCGAGAAGAAGGTAAATCAGACAATATAAATTATTGGGTCTTAAAAGAAGGTCGTTCAGATATCTAGACGGTCCGTCCCTCGTAACGATCTTCAAGAGTGAAGTGCTTCCCCATCTGGAGTACTGTCACCCCGTCTGGTCCCCGAGATATGCTAGGGACTGTCGGTTGATTGAAAATGTTCAAAGGAGGGCCATTAGACCGGTGCGTGCACTATGGCACCTCAGATACCCTGAGAGATTAGAGCGCCTGTAACTGCCTAGCTTATACTCGACAGGCAAGGGCGACCTAATTGAAGTGTATAAACATCTCAAAGAGCACTACTCAGTCGAGTGTCCTTACTTGGAACTGGTGGACGCTCGCCCCACAAGGGGTCACAGCTCAAGGTTGAAGAAGCCGCAGGTCCAGAAAACTGTGAGGGCAAACTTTTTTGGAGTGAGAGTAGTGAACTGTAGGAACAATCTGCCAGAGAGTTTTGTGACGGCACCGAGCGTCAGCTGTTTCAAGACCAGACTTGACCAACACTGGAGCAGGTTCAGATACATTCAGGAGCCAGTACACGCCAAAAGTGATTAAAAGACGTGACCTATCGCCCAAGTGGCTAACGAACCGATCAGTATTGAAGAGGATAAAATTTAAAAAGTAAAAAGTAAAGTAAAGTACGTATCGTACATTATTGTTCCATATAAGTAATTAGTAATAATATTAATAATACACTCATAGCATCATCAATTACATTATACAAAACATAAGTACTTCTCTACACACACCTTCTCTGGATTCTCTCCTGTCTGCGTGCCTCCCTTTGTCTTCTCCGTTCTTCTCGTGTCAATGAACGCCCATCATCCACATCTTCTACACGATCTCTGATGCGTCCTCTCCCAGTTCTCCCAGTACCATGTTGCATGAGCCCTGTAGAGTCTTGATTGTGTTGACGTCCATATTGTCGTTCTAAAGGTGAAAGTAATAGCAAGAAGTTGACAGTGTCAACACATATAACAATACAGTACAGTATTGTATCAGTATACAGTACAGTACGGTACTTCAAAGTTTACTTCAACAATATGAGATGCTGAATAAAATTACTAGATCCATTCAATTCTTATTAATAAAACTGAGGGGAAGAGGATAACCCCTTCCTGGTATCCAAGACCCTCACTTAAGTGTTTATGTATCACAGGACAGGATGTATGTGTGGCTTCAAGGGTGGCCTGACACCTAGACTATATGTCTCTGTTATACAGTACTAATGATACAACACTGAGATTCACATATGATTAAACACTCACTATTGTACACAGCTCATAATTATGTTGGCAGGTTAACACTTAACTGGTACTGTACAATATAACAATGACCAGGAATAGGTCACAGCTGCTAAATCACACTCAGTAGACCAGTCAGAGATTCAACCCAGGAAGACATTCATTGCCTATACAGTAGTTGTTTTTTTACTTTTATCCTCTTCACCAAATGATCGGCTCGCTAGCCACCCGGGCGATCGGCCACGTCTCTGTTACGCACTGTTGGCAAGTACTGGACATGCACCGGCTCCTGAATGTACCTGAACCCGCTCCAGTGTTGGTCAAGTCTTGTCTTGAAGAGCTCACACTCGGTGCCGTCACAACACTCTCTGGTAGATTGTTCCAAGAGTTTACAACCCTCACTCCGAAAAAGTTTGCCCTCACAGTTCTCTGGACTTGCGGCTTCTTCAATCTTTAGCTGTGACCCCTTGTGGGGCGAGCCACAGCCAGCTCCAAGTAAGGACACTCGACTGAGTAATGCCCCCTGAGGTGCTTATACACCTCAACTAGGTCACCCCTTGCCCGTCTGTGGTATAAACTAGGCAAGTTCAGGCGCTCCAATCTCTCAGGGTAGCTGAGGTGCCGAAGTGCAGGCACCAGTCTGGTTGACCTCCTTTGAACATTTTCAACCAACTGACAGTCCCGAGCACATCTTGGGGACCAGACGGGGTGACAGTACTCCAGATGACGAAGCACTTCACTCTTGAAGATCTTTACGAGGGATGGACGGTCTAGATATCTGAACGGCCTTCTTATAAGACCCAATAATTTATTTGCCTGATTTACCTTCTTCTCGCAATGGCCCGAGAACTTCAGCTCATTGTCAACATACACACCTAGGTCCTTCTCACATTCAGTCTCAAATAGTGCAGTTTATTCATCCCGGTGGGACATATGATACGCATCCTTACCATTGGTACGCCCCAGGTGCATCCTCTTACACTTCGTGACATTGAATCTCAGCAGCCATTTCTTCGACCATTCTTGAAGCCCACAGAGGTCCTTCTGCAGTTCTTCACAGTCCGCTTGTTTCTTAATTTCCCGAAATAACTTGGCGTCATCGGCAAACATTTGTATTGAGGAGTTTACAACGTCAGGTATGTCGTTTATGAAACAAACAAACAACAACGGGCCCAATACTCTGTCCTGTGGTACCCCACTTGTGACAGGTACGGATGACGATTTCATGCCATTAATCACCACACACTGCTTCCGTACCCTTCCAGTTTGATTTTCAGCCTTTCATGGGGTATACAGCCGAAAGCCTTGGCAAAATCTAGGTAAATATTGTCGCTATTACCACTCCGTTCCAGAATATGGGTCCAAATATCCAATATATTGAGCAATTGTGTTAAGCAGGAGCGCCCCGGCATAAAACCGTGTTGGCAATCCTTTACACGGTTGTTTCGTATTAGATGTTCCATTGCAGCATCTGTGATAATACTCTCAAGTACTTTACATATTATGCTGGTCAAGTTCACCGGTCTATAGTTGTTCGTGGAGTGACGATCGCCTTCTTGAAGATAGGACTCACATAAGCCACTTTCCATTCACTGGGGACCTTTTGTTCATCCAGGCATTTACAAAACAGGATCTTCAGGGGCTCGGCAAGCTCGTTGCACAACTCTCTTAGCACTCTAGGATGCACCATGTCAGGGCCGGGACTCTTATGGACCTTTAGCTTGGACAGTTAATTTCTAATACCCTCTTCTGTGAACACAATGTGGGTCAGTGCTGTGGCGAACGGTCTGTCCTCAAACGCAGGAAGGTTAATTGCATCCTCTCTTGTGAACACCGAGGAAAAGAAGCTGTTCAATGCCTCGGCTTTATCCTGGTAAGAATCTGCGTAACTACCACCTTCAAGCTTCAGGTCTGATACTCCTACTCGCGTTTTCAATTTCGACTTTGCATAGCGGTAAAACGCCTTTGGGTTTGACTTGACCTCGCTTGCAACCAGCCTCTGGAACTCCTTTTCAGCCTTTCTACACTCTATCTTTGCTTGGTTTCTGGCTCTTGCATACATCCTCCTGTCCTGCTCATCGTTTGACCCAACCCACGTCTTGAATTTCTGGGTTTTCTTCTTAATTCTGTCGACTGCCGCATGGTTCATGTGTAGGGATCCCCTCGTATTCCTAGAGGCACTGGGTTTGGTCTTGGGTATATATTTATCGATCAAATGGGTCACTTTACTAGTTATGAAATTCAGCGTAGTGTCTGCGTTCTTGTGCCTTAATGAGTCAGGCCAGTTGATACCTCTCATCTCTTCCCTCATCCCGTTGTAATTTCCCTTGTAATATTTGCACCTTGGCCTGGCCTTATCTTGAACTAGGTAACAGTTAAATCTGAATGACAACACTATATGGTGACTGGTGCCATCTGGGGCAAGGTGTTCCAGTTTGACCACCATACCCTCCTCGTTTGTTATGATGAGGTCAAGTTAGTGGTCAATCATAGTAACAAGATTCGTCCATATTAGTTTGGCTTGGGTGTTTGCTCCCCTCTGTAAGGTGTCGGGTCTCTAACATGTTGTAACAGAAAATTATCTCTCAGTTTCTACAAAAAGATTAGCAAGGTTATTAAAGTCATTTGAGGTGGACTCGTTTCTCCAGTCGATGTCGCCATAGTTAAAGTCACCCATGATAAGGAGGTGGCTAGGGTTGAGCATTGCCGCATTGTCTATTAAGGCTCTTAAGTTCCTTTGATTTAGTGGGCCACAGTTTGGGGATCTGTAGATACACCCAACAATAAGTAGGTCCCCTTCCTTCAATTTAATTTTACACAACTTGGACTCTTCAAAAACATCCTCTCCTTGTACCCTTGCCTGGCTGGCTCTAACGTCTTGCCTAACATAGATAACCACTCCCCTCTTGCAAGTTTCTTGAGAAAGGTTTGTAAATGAGTCATATCCAGCAATACTGAACTCATATTCCTCTGGGTCGATTCTCCTGTTCTTGTACAACAGTTCTACAACTCCTACAATATCTGGTTGGTGTACTTTCAGTAGTGTTTCAAACTCCTCTCTCCTATCAAGAAACGTGTCAGTATTAGTGTACATGACATTCAAGCCAGAATTTGTTCTCGGTAACATCTCTGCTCTTAGTAGTAACCCCACTCCCCCCACCATTCTCAGAAGCTGCAGCATTTGCGAAGCACACTGTATTTTGCAGGGTGTGGTTCGAAATGTCATTGTTTAGATGGCGCTCGCCTCCTCCTGTCTGGTAGGCGGAGCTGGTGCCGCCTCCCGGGTGGGGGGTAGAGCGTGTGGAGGGTGCACTGCTGCCCCCTGGCCCTGTGTCGGCACACTTGCTTCCGTTGTTGTTGTTGTTGAGATTGTCGGACCGTAGTCCGACACGGGCCTTTGCCTATAGGCGGCCCGTTTGGTGGTTCCGGCTGGAGCTCCAGGAGCAGCCAGACCGGATTGGGATTGGAGGTGGTCCTACCTGCAGATTTGGAAGGATACTGCAGGTTGCAAGTGTGAGCGGACCCCCGATCAGTGGACGCTTACCCCCAGTTTCTGAGTGGCGCGCCCCCCCGAACTGGGGTCCGCACTTGCTGGGAGAGGATACTTTCTAAGCTATCTGGGTGGTGGGTATCGTGTGATGACCCGGAGAAGGTCGTGAATGTGGTTTGTTTGGGCCTTTCGGGTTAGAGTGGTCGCTGGTGTTGTGTGTGCTTCTTGGGAGATTTGAGTTCTGTTTCGGAGGCTTTGTGTGACTTCGCAGTCGAGGAGATAGTGTTCAAGTGGGTTGGCTGCTGGCTCCTGACAGTAGGTGCATTCCATGATGTCATTTCCGATCATCTGCCAGGAGCACTTGTACCCTAGTCGTAGTCGATGAAGGCTGACTTGGGTTTGTCTTGGTGTTTTCTTGTCAGCGAAAGGTGGTTCCCCTTTTGTAGGCCGCCAGGTACCATTTGGCTGATTGGGAACCAGCGTTAAATGCGTGAAGGAAGCTCTTTTTGATGTGGAGCTTGCTAGTCTTTCTGAGGTGATTCTTGATCTGTTGCACACTTGCTGGAACTTGAATGTGTACGCTACTAGAACGTGTAGCTGCCTTGGCTGCTTCGTCTGCCACGTCGTTTCCTCCGATACAACATTATATCATCACCATCATGTTCCACAGAAATACCTTGGGGAAATAATAAATCTTATCTGAAAAAAAATAGAGATCATCATACCATTATCTCTACAAAGATATACTGATGCTTACCCTGGCCCACACAGCTGCTTATGATGACACACACAACCACCACACCTGCACACCATCTCCACACAGAGGTCATGATGCACACCTGTAAGGAAATACAATAAAGTAAGTAACGGTATATTGAACATTATAACACAAGAGGTCATCATACTCAAGAGGTTAGGTCAGTGGTTCCCAAACTTTTTTTACTCACGGCGCACTTTAGAACAAGTAAAAATATTTTGGCGCACTTTGTACATAAATTAAAAAATTTATTCAAAAGAGGTATTTATATATATTAGCATAGCATAAAGTAGAAATATAGATAATTAAAAATACGGAAAAATTGTATGTACTTAATTCTTTATCAATAAATGGAGCAAAGTTATCAATGAGAAACATGCGCTTGATGGTTTTTGGCAATGTTTTCAATGTTGGGACGTATTTGAGAAAGACAAACCCTCATTTCTTCTTCGATGCAATGAAGCCTCTCTCTTTTTTTGGATTTGGTGTTATTGAGGGTTGAAAATCCCAATTCACATAAATACGATGTGGAAAACTGCATCAAAACGGATAAAGCTTTTTTAGCTACTGAGGGGTATTCTTCTTTAATAGCAATCCAAAATGTATCAATAGGTAACTCAGCATGCTTGATTTTAAGTCCACGATCACTGGATATAGATGCCAATTCCTCTTCTTCACATAATTTTAGACCAATATTAGATGGAATTTTTATGAAGGGATTTCGAACCCAATCACACACTTCTGTGTTCAATGACGGACAATAAAAGTTAATTTTTTCTTCCAGAGTTGTCAAATGTTCAACTACAATAGGAGTCATTTCTTTTATGCAGCTTTTACGTATTAAGGGAAACATTTCAAAGTTACCATCTTTAGCTTTATTTTTCCAAATCACAACTTTCTTTTTAAATGAAACCAGCTTACCTGTCGAAGTGAGAATGTTTTCATCTCTACCTTGCATACTTGTGATGACGCTAATAAGTTGTGCAAATATCTGTTAAATATTACAGCTTGGAAATCTAAAATTTGCATTGAAGATATTCACAGAAGCAATCATGTTTTTCTTCTTCAAAAAATACAAGTAATTCTTTCTGGAATTCATGTATGCAACATACCGGTAGCACCTTACCTCTTGAGAGCCATCTGACTTGTGTGTGTAAAATTAAGCGCTTGTGCTAGGAATCCATATCAACACAAATTTGTTCAAATAAGCGAGACTTCAATGGTCTACTTTTAATATAATTCACCATTTCAACAACTTGGTTTAATACTTGCTTTAATTCAACTTGTATTGTTTTTGAAACTAGTACCTCCCTATGTAGGAAGCAAGGAGTACGTATAACATTAGGATTTTGCTGTTGTACGAGCGATACAAAACCTTTAATACAGCCTACCATAGATGGTGCCCCATCAGTACATATTCCAACACATGACTTCCATGATAAATTCCATTTTTCTAGGTAGGCAGATAAAATGTCAAAGATATCTTGACCTCTTGTAGTGAGTGATATTTCTTTGCAACAAAAGAACTGATTTATGATTTGGTTTCCATCAATATAGCAAATAAATGTAAGTAATTGTGCTTTGTTGCTAATGTCAGTAGATTCATCAACTTGTAAAGCAAATTCTGAGTTCTGAAGTTTGTTCTGTACATTTTCCTCTATATCAGCAGATAAATCCACAATTCTCCTATGGATTGTATTATTTAAGAGCGGAATTTTGCTTATCTCTTGTTCGGCTTCATCAACTAACATGGTTTTAACCATCTTTCTACAGGCCGGCAATATAATCGACTCGGCTAAAGTATGCGATTTCGTTTGTAGTGCAATCATTTTGGCTATCTCAACAGAAGTGACTTGAGCCTTTTCAGAAACTAAACTTTTTCTGAAAATAGTTTCTTTGCTCGGATTGCTGTTCTAACAGTCTTTGGAAATAATTCAGATCTTTATCTTGAAGATGTGAGTGTTTAGTTGTAAAATGTCTCTAACTTGCTGGGTACCATGCCTTCGTTAGACATCCTTTCACCACAAACAACACACAGTGGGAGAGGTTGATCCTCGTTTCCAGTCCAATGAAGCCCAAACTTTAAATAGCTATTGCAATATTGGCAATTGGGTCGAGCTTTCACCTTATTATCACTAGGCTTAGTTGCTTTTGACGAATGTTCACTTTCAGATTCACAATCGTTACTGTTATGTTTCCTATTAATAAACTTATCCATTTTATGGGTAATTTAGTCAATATGAAATGAATGGCACAAAGAGCACAGCTTGCTAACAAAGTCAAGTATCAAACTGGGACAAGTGACAGCACGTCACATATTTAATAACTTAACGGTCCGCAAACATGAAGATATGTTCGGAATCTTTTGTTCAGTTTCATTTATTTTAGCTCAAGAGCCTTTCAAAATCAATTGAAAAGATGAAAATTTCTACTACTACAAATGAAACAAATTGAAATATAGTTATGGTCCTGATCCGCTGCAATGCGTGAGGACGTGTTAAAAACTTTCGTTCAACGCCGTATATTTTAGCTCAATGGTTTTTTCAAAATCCTTTATTGAAATGAAAACTTTTGTTATGACTGAAACAAACTGAAACATAGTTATGCATTGAATGTGTCTATAAGACGTAAATTACGAGGATAGATTGATGCGAATTTAGTTCTTATCCTTATGAAATTTAAGACTCAAAATTTAATAACAGTCGTACCATAATTAGCCTAAATGAATTGAATGACACAAACCACCTCTCATTCTTAGTTTAGTTATTTGGCACTTTGCCAGTTATATATGAACTTTATTACGAATTTCAGTTTGTATTTTTCATATTTTGAAATATAATCTTGCTCTTTCGCAGCGCACCTAATTACATCTCGCGGCACACCAGTGCGCCGCGGCTCACGGTTTGGGAACCACTGGGTTAGGTCATCATAATAAAAGGATTAAGCCATCATACTCATGGGGTTAAGTCATCATACACAAGGGATTAGTCATTGTACAGTACCACAAAGGTTAACTTTAACAGTGGATCACACCAAGAAGGGTCTAATCCTGTTATTTGTACCATTCTGTAGTACCACTGTTGTCTTTGGTGCTTCAACTACTGTACTAAGGTTATTTGTACTGTACCATTCTATTGTACCATTGTTGTCTTTGGTGCTTGAATTACTGTACTAAGGTTATTTGTACCATTATGTTGTACCACTGTCATTTTGGGAGCATGAACTCTGTTGTTAAACCACTAAGAGCGGTCATTAATCTGTGTCGCAATTTGTTACTCAACTTGGGTTTCCTTGGGAGATGAGATAAAGCATTGGCATCACAGAATACATACAGTACAGTATTGTCTTTGTTTGTATGCCTGCACTGTCTATGGACATTGTTTGCATATCTGTATTATCTATGTACATTATTTGTATATCTACACTCTCTAGAGTTTGCATACCTGAACTATGTATACATTGTTTGTATACTGTACCTGCAAACAATGTACACACATTTGTGCAGTAGCACCGGCTATGTACTATCGTGCACAAAAGTCGTGTCCTCTACCCAGCCACAGTGAGGTTTTGAATAACCTTGAGTTTGAAGTTTCGAAACAGTTGGGCGAAATGCTATGGTCGGCCAACAGATGTCGCCCACTGTAGTGTGTGTGTGGGGGGTGGAAAAGAGGAGGTGGGAGCTGGATGAGAGGCAGGTTTATTTATACCACCATAATTTCAAGCTGCCTTTTTAACTCTGTTTTGTCTTACAGTTGTTTCTTTATGGTTACAAATTCATGGAACAGGTGCAGCGTCCTGGGTTCTTATTGCTGCTCAGGTCACAATGATACGTTAAAGAATGGAATATATTAAGGATAAAAGTGAAATATGCAAGGATCAGCTAGTTTTACTCAGCGACCACGTCACAATTTTGTTGTTATTCCGACAGAGAGATTATGGTAATATTTATATATATTCCACCCATCCTTTGCTTAATAAATATTTGTGATAATATGCAATATTATATAATTATATACTTATGTTAAAAAGAGTGGAGTGAAAAAGTTATCAGTATTGTAAAATAGTATTCAGAATTAATCTAGGTGACTGTTCCAATTCTTCCAAGTTCCAGTGTTTAAACACCCCACCACAATATACAAGCCTCATATATTTTGGAGTATGCCCAGTAACTGTTAATATTGTGTACTGAACATCATGAGCATTTCAATGATGGTAACAATTGTAACTATATAATTATATTGTGTTATAAGACAACACATTCCACGACGTGTCATACAGATCATTGTATAGCACACAATACATAGTTTGTGGCTGTTAATTACTTTGTTATGAATTTTCATGCGATATAGTTGAAGACATCATTAAGGACATGGATTTAAGATAACACTGTAGGTGAGTTAATATATATTAATTGTATTTACAAACAATACTAAAATCCAAACAATACACCAATACACACATCTTAGTATTTGGTCCAGCCACCCATTGCATTCAGGACTTCATCAAGGCGATTAAGGATGGAGTCGACCAGCTTCAGGCACACCCCTGGTCGTCAACGTATACTCTCCCACACGTTGTAAGCTTTGGCCTCTATTGCTACACAGGTTCGCTGCTCCCCAATATCCCAATCACGTTTCATCATGGCCCAAATATGTTCAATCGGATTAATATCACATCCTAGCGTTGGCCAGTCGATGACCTCAATTTCAGGGTGATCCTGGAGGTAGTCCTTCACTATGTTGCTGGTATGAATGGGACTGTTGTCATGAACCAGCCTGATAGTGTGGGGGGCTGGAACTGCCATAGGAATTAGCACTTGCTCCAGGATGTCTACATACTGCTCACCAGTGAAACGGCCATTGATCTTGACCAGTTCACCTGGCCCATGTGCCCACATCCACCCCCAGAATGACACTGACACCCTACCACTCACTGCGCCATGTGTTTCTCATGGTAGCGTGTGTTGGGGGCCGCCAGCACTGCCTTGCTTCGGCTCCCACTGACCTGAACACCGTTTCATCGGTAAATATAATGGTTCTCCAGTATTCTTCTCTATGTGGAAGGTGTTCCAATGCAAAGCCG